CACAAGCACAACAACAACAACAACAACAACAAGAACAACAACAACAACAACAACAACAACAACAACAAAGCAACAGCAGCAGCAGCAGCAGCAGCAGCAGCAGCAGCAGCATCAGCAGCATCAGCAGCATCAGCAGCACCAGCAGCACCAGCAGCAAAAGTAGCAAAAGCAGCAGCACCGGCAGCACCAGCAGCAGGAGCAGCACCAGCATCACCAGCATCACCAGCATCACCAGCATTACCAGCACCACCAGCACCGCCATCACAAACAGGGCCACCAGCACCACAAGCACCAGCACCAGCAGCACCAGCACCACCAGCACCACCAGCAGCGCCGCTAGCGCCACCAGCACCACCGGCACCAATGACTTCAACTTTATGGGATATGCAACTTGGGGCTTCGTAAAGTTCTTCGAAACATTAGAAAACTTGGTAACAACTTTCTGAGCATCTTAATAAGTCTATGCCACGGGCTGTTCGGAGTGCCCCTAACAGCGTTTTCAATAGCTTAGAAGGAGGGTAGGGTTCAAGGTTTAGCATTTACGGTTTAGGCTTTGGCTTAAGGGTTTAGGTTTAGGGTCTATAGGGCTATACATAGGTAATCCTAACCAAGAAACTCCCCCTAAACCCTAAGCCTAAAGCCCCAAGCCCTAAACCCTAAACCCCAAGGCCGGAGGCCTCAACCCTAAACCCTAAACGCATTAAAAAAAACCTTAAAACCCCAAGCCCGGAGGCATCAACCCTCAACGCTACATCCTACGCAGTCTGGCGCGCCAGGGGTCCGCCGATCACGAACCGCCAGAGATGGTACACGTCGATCTCGATACATTGAGCCTCTTCTGGATGGTTTCTGGTTGCGTTTCATATGGGTAGTTCTCTAATTTAGGGTCCCTTTTAGGGTCCTTGTTTTATATAAGGGTGCCGTACTATATTGGGGACCTAAAAAAGGGACCCTAATTTAGAAAACTACCCATATAGGGGCGCAGAACAACTAGTTATACTGAGTTATACTATCACTGACGGTTCCTTCTGAATTTTATAGTGCATTACATCCCAAAAACTTGTTCCGACTGTGAAGGCTGTATATTAAAGGCCCGAATCTGTAGCAATGCTAGTCTGTAGGTTGCCCAATGCAACTAGAGTCAGTTTTGATTAGGCCAGCCTCTTCTTGCAGTTCCGAGTTGGGGGGTTCGGGTTTAGGGTTAGTTTAGGGGCTTAGGGTCTATCCCCTATCTAAGCCTTGAGCCCTACAGCAAGGGTTGGATAGCTGTGTCTGGGAGAGCACATCTCTGCATCCTGCTGTGGTATTTTCTTGCCTTCTAACTTTGGGGTGAATGCTGAATAGTAGGAAAAGGGTACCCTCACCGTTGAACGGAAACTGGGAACACAATACACAACCCCTTAAAAATATACCCCGCCCTATAAAAACCTTGTAGAGCCCGAAGCAACGCTAACAACCCCATACAGAAAAAAGTATATGAATATGGGGACACAGGAGAACCTTGGCCCATATCGCGTTAGGAAACCCTGTGAAGGCCTTTCAGTGCTTAAGAAAGCCCTTGTAAAGCCTAGGTTTAGGGTTTGGCTGGGATTCAGGGATATGGTTCCCTAAACCCTAAACCCTAAACCCTAAACCCTAAACCCTAAACCCCAACCCCTAGACCCTAAACGCTAAAACCAAGCCGCAGCACCAGAGTCGGCCTTCAGGCCGCCCCACGAGACTGGACACACCCACAGCAACCACCGTCATCGCCGCCACCGCCACCATCGCCACCACCGCCACTACGGTTTAGGGTTTAGGGTTTAGGGTTTAGGGTTTAGGGGCCACCACAAAAACGACCGCCACCACCACGACCCCCACCACCGCCAACAACAACAAGAACAGCAGCAGCAACAAGAACGACTATTGCGACAAACACTGCTTCTGCTTCTGCAAGGTGTTGGGTTTTGGGTTTGGGGTTTTATTGGTCGGGATTTGCCGGTTGAGGTTTCTAAGGTCCCGAACCCTAAACCCCCAAGACTGAACACCAGTTGAACTCCCTACAACCTTTATCCTCAAACCAGAAACTCAACAACATTACGAAATTCCTTAACCTTAACACCTCAAACCACTCACAACCTTTTTTTTCCTCGCTCCTGACCCCCAAACCCGTCTAGTACCCTGTAGAAGCCCCAAACCCCAGTTAGCCTCAACCCCAAATTCTGATAAATACCCTTCTAACTTCTAGAGCCGTGAAATGCACCCTAAAGCCCGAGTTACTAAGTCCCATGATCCTCTAAGTATGCCCCTACAACCCCTATTATTATTAT